CCCTAGGATCCCACCTACCTTGTCTCCTTGTGTTAGATACCTCCCTAGATTGTTCCCTACTCAAATTAGAAAGTACATTGTCTTATCTCTTTATCCATGTCTCTTGTCTATCCATTCCATCTCCCATATGACCAAACAATATTTTAAATCGTCGTATCATATCTTAAGTCATGATGACTTGATTATTCTTCCCACTTGAAGTAGAATCATCTTTGTCAGACATTCTAAATCTATAATAGTATTTGCCTCACATGTGTACACTCATGTATCACCCAATCTAGCATTTTCCCTCTATTAGTTTCACCACTCTGCCTTTTTCACTTAATATTTCCTTGTAAGTGTTTCAAAGAATTAATTCGATTTCAATCAAAAAGTCAACATTTGTGGAGTTCAAATAAAGAATTGAGTAAGTAAAGTAACTTTAAAATGATTCAAGAAGTAAGAATTTGAACTTGAATGGAAACTCCAATGATGTATTCAAGAAAGTGTTTTTTGAATTCGAATTGGACATTTTTTTTACTAGATGCGCAAGAATTCAATAAGGAGCCCAAAAAATGAAAATGAATTGATTTGGGCATTAATTTAGCGCATAAAAAACTTTTGAATTTTTTTTTTTTTTTTTTGTATTTTAATTGGATTGAATTACTTAAAAGATGAATACGAAGAACAAAGATGAAGACTCAAATAAAAACAAATAAGGAATTAAATGTTATAACCTTGATTTTTGGAGTCTAAGCTCTGATACCAACTGATGTGAACCCACATAGCAATTAAAACTACGAAACACACGACAGATTAGATCAAATTCAAAAAATTCAAGAATCAACGTTTGAAAAGCTCGACCCAATAAATTATTGAACCAAAGAACTAAGCCAATCGTCAACAATATCTTGACTCCGTGATCACAAAATTTAATAACCTTACTTAAATTGTTGAACGCCACAAGAATTTAATTATTGATAAGTTCGAAATTAATTCAATGAAGAGTGGGCTAAAACAATATGCCCTGCAATAATATCTCTCTAATTGTATGTTTTTTACAATGAAAAGAACAATTCTATTTATATGGAATCCATAAAACTTAGTTAAAATGAAACTACACCCACAAGATATAAAAAAGATACCATAAAAACTCCTAAAATAGAAGTCTAGACAAAATTTAGGAAAAGTGAGTCCAGAATTACTATGTGGCCACATCGTGAACCTGCATACGGTCCCATATGCCATTTTGACTGCCTTCAGTTGGGCTCGATATGGAGGTATGTGGGTTACTCTATACGGTTGCCTAGGTCTCCTCTTCAACTTTTCCGTTCATTGCTTGAACCAAGTTGATCCACCTTGTTCTGTTTTCCAAAATAAAACTTGTCATTTTGCTTGTTGTGATCGATTTTTCATCCACCGTAATTTGAACAAGCAATCCCATGACTTTTTTTACCTTCTTTGCTCGTGACCTAGGTCAACGAGTCCTTGTCCTTTCTAACTCTCGTACCATGGTTCTCATCATAAATGTAATGGTTTTTTTTTCTTTTTTTGCTTTTGTATCCTTAATATTAAAACTTAAAAAATATGTGCGAATCTACGACAAAATGTAAAAAAAAAAACCAATTTAATTATACAATTAATAATGAATGTAATGTATTTTATCTTCTTACCTTGTACATATAAATATATGTAAATTACCTTCAATAAAAAATTGTTATGCCTGAAAGAAATAAAGAAATGATAACTGTCTTCAACAAACAAAGGAATGCATAGACTTTATTATGTTTGATATAGGGAATAATGTTATTTAGTACTAGTGGTGTTATAGCACCAGTTTAGATGGCTACACTTGAGAGATTTAATTAAATGAATCATGTAATATTGAATTTAAGTGAATCTATCATTTAATGGCATACACTTGTCACCTAAACTGACACTTTATACCACTCCCAGTGGTGCTAAATATCATTAGGCTTGATATAAGTTGTCTTTTCAATAATACAATATTCTACGGTAGTTGTCCTGGATTCTTGGAAGCTTTCAAGATTTGTTCCAAAAGTTGTGCACATACCAAACACGATGTATAAGACATTTTAAATATAAAAAAGGGTAAACTTGATATTTAACAATTAACATGTCAAAGTGACCGTTCTATTAATTCCTCCAAAAATAGCCATTTTTTTCTCTCCTTAGAAAGGCCCAACAATTTTTAAATTTTTTGCCCATAAAAAACCAATAAGTTTGGTTAGAAAAGCTCAAGAAAAAATATTTAATTTAATTAATTAAATAGACATGTCGACATAGAGTTAGTCAGGTACAGGGGCGGATCGGCCAGCCCCCATGCTAGATCTGCCGATAGCTTCAAGTCGCTGTAACGCCGACGCCATTCGTTGGGAAGAAATGAAGAAGGCAGTCGGGTGAAATTTTTTTTTCCTTTCTTATTTTGTTTAAGTGTTTGGGCCTTTTTTTAAAACAATAAGGCCTAATGAATTGTGCCAATTTACAACTCATTAGCCACAAACAAAACCAAATCCAAATCCTCAATTCCAAAATTTCACCCAAACGGTAGAAGAGGGGGACGACCGGGGAGATTGGTCGTGCTGCCGAGTCCCTGCTGGTTGCTGCTGTGCATTGCGTATCTGTGAGTTGCACTGCCGCCGAGTCGCCGACTACGCCAGCCTCTTCGGCATCTTAGCCACTGGCTTTCGCTGCTGTCTCTTTGTCATCTGTTGTCAGTGAGTTTGCTCGACTGCTCCACCTCCTCTCTTTTCTTTTTTTGTTTTTGTTTTTGTCTTTGTTCCTTCATTGTGTAGTTAATTTGTTTGATTTGTTATTTATGTTTTATAAATTATGTTTA